TATGGGCCTTATTGGGCCATACGGGAATAGAGGAGAGAGGCCAAAATGAAGGAGGCCTGCGCCCCTCCTCTGGTCCGAATTGGACAAGGGGTGCAGCCCCCTTTTCCTTCTCCCTCTCGTCATCTTTCCTTCTCTCCTACTCCAACAAGGAAAGGAGGAGTCCTACTCCGGGAGTAGGACTCCCCCCTTGGCGCGCCCTTCTCCTAGGCCGGCCGCCTCCCCCCTTGCTCCTTTATATACAGGGGCAGGGGGCACCTCTAGACACACAAGTTGATCTTCGTGATCGTTCCTTAGCCGTGTGCGGTGCCCCCCTTCACCATATTCCACCTCGGTCATATCGTAGCGGTGCTTAGGCGAAGCCCTGTGTCGGTAGCAACATCATCACCGTCACCACGCCGTCGTGCTGACGGAACTCTCCCGTGAAGCTCTGCTGGATCGGAGTTCGCGGGACGTCATCGAGCTGAATGTGTGCTGAACTCGGAGGTGCCGTGCGTTCGGTACTTGGATCGGTCGGATCGTGAAGACGTACGACTACATCAACCGCGTTGTGCTAACGCTTCCGCTTTCGGTCTACGAGGGTACGTAGACAACACTCTCCCTCTCGTTGCTATGCATCACCATGATCTTGAGTGTGCGTAGGAAATTTTTTGAAATTACTACATTCCCCCATCAGTATAGTCAACATTCTTGTGAAGTTATTTCTAGAAGACGAGATGTATAACTGTTGGAGACAACTACATATAAAACTAGTTTGAATCTCATCTAGAAAGAACTTCACAAATTTTTAGGACAGTCGCGTGGTGGTGCTTTATGTAATGGTTATGAACTGTAAAAAGACGCAGGTAATGGTGTGCCTTTGCACGGCCGGTATAACAAAACCAAGTTATTTGTCTGTAATTGGTTGATGGAATGCCTTTCACACATCCTTTCATGTTAAGCCAATAACTGTAAGTAGTGTTGTATCAATTATTCTTTTGCTGCTTGTTGACTTGAACATAGAGCAATGGCGCTCTGTAGTGTTTTCTTCCCATGCTTGTTTGGTGTTTATGTAATTGTTATGATCTGGAAATAAATTTCTCGCGGTGTCTGGTTTAGTTTAGTTTATGTCACAAGCTTTGCTTCTGTATCCAAGGTTGGCAAATTCTTTGTATAATAATTGGACTAAATTTGATTGTTGCTTGTCTATTGACATATGCAAGAATGGTAAAACTATAGTGCTAGTGCATAGCTGTAGTGCAGTTCTTTCTCAAGATATAGAAATATAACAGCTGAAACCTAAAAGTTGAACAACTGTAGGCTGTAGCCATGGGTTGTGTACAGTCTAATTTCTTCAATTGGGTCATGATATGAGACTTTGTACCGAACACATGGGCAAAGTTATAAGACTAGATTTATCATTAAAAGTGCATTCATTATGAATTACTACTTTTATTTTTAGTAACATGATATGATTGAAGGAGTGCTCAGAGCTTTGTTTTTTATGCCATGCAGTGTAAAAAAGATGAAATCTATTTTGTACCGAAGGGAAGTTTTAATTAGTAAGACCCCTTGCTTGAGGATTCTACATGATAGTTTGATTAATTTCAATTAGTTGGTGACTAGCGAGCTCATACATTTCTGAAAGATATGCCTATGAGCTAACCTGATGCTTCTGCTTTTCTACTCCACATGAGCCCATCATATGTCCATGATAATGAAGAATATTTCAAAATTTCAATTAAATTCATAAGCTAAATGGTTTAGCATTTGCCTCTGAAGTAGGGGTTTGAACAATTGGTCTTTTAGCTTCTAGTGAGAGAAGATGGCGAAGATACTCAAGAATGTGCTATAGGTAGAAGTTGAAAGTGTGCCACTATATCACAAATTACCTATTGATAATCTCTGTTTCCATTGCTGTTTTTTCCAACAATATCGAGATGATTCAACTTTGTTTTTTAGTACAATCTCCTTATGGCGGAGTTAATATTTACTGTTTGAATCATTATAAGTTGTGAGGTTGCATAACTTCAACGTCTTTCCATGGATGAATAGTACAAATGGTTTGACTGATGACACTGATTGTTCCACAGGTACCTAGATTTGTACTCTGGTTGCCGAGATGCAGGAAATGGCTTCTTCCATGTAGGTTCTTCCCTTTTGTATGCTTCACCCGAAGATCAACCCTCTATATTGCGTGCGTGCGTGTGAGTGTGCATGTGCGCGCGCGTGTGTGTGTGTGCGCGCGTGCGTGTGTGTGTGTGCGCGTGCCTGCCTCTTCTCTCTGTTTCCATTTGATTATGTTCCGTGTTGTATTTGGTCAGGAGATTTGATTTTAGCTAATGATTGTTGGAACACACTTGCCTTCCTGGAGCTATTTGTTACTGCATAGAAAGCGTTTCGACCAGCAATGGCAGCAGTGCTTTATCATGCATGCATGTTTCAAATGTTCTGTACTGATATATTGACCGAACACCAGAGAGGAAAGATAGGGTATGTCGACACAAGTATTGCGAGTTTACTCCATGGAGACCACCGGCTAGGTCCTCCTCTTCCTTTCTCAGTAGTTTATGTCCTTCAATTTCCTCTTCAAATTATTTCTGGTTATACAGTTGCTGACATTATTCATGCTGATCAATTTCTGTATCGATTGATCAATTGTTAAGTATAAAAAAGATGTGAGTCACCAACATAATCAGCTTCCTCCCTGGCGGCATTCTGACACGATCAGGAGATTGCTTTGTTCGTCCAACTCAAGCTGGCAGCATCTCAGCTTCTCATTCTTAACCGATTTCCATTGGCCACGCTGGGGAGATGTTGCTGACTCAAGCCACGAGCAAGGCATCTTGTTTGGCAGCGCTTCAGGTTATTCTTTCACGCTTGCCCTGGTGTCAACTTGTTTGGACCACGCTTCAGCCAAAAGAGTTAATAGTAAATATTGAAGTTGCTTGTTTGACTCAGGGCAATCCAGCATTAGTTACTGACCGCTCTGTCATCATCAGCATCATAAACTATTGCATTAGAAGATTTCAGATCGGTACAGTCATGTGATATTGTGATGTGAGTTCAGTAAAGCACTTTGTTCTTCCCAGTTTAGTGGGGGCATTGCTACTTTGGCTGAATTGATTAAAATTTGTCTGTAATACATTTGAAACTCTACCATCTACGGTTAATTTCAAGAAAGTCTCACCTTAGTCCGTTAAATTGCTTAAAGTCACCTTTTGTCTTTCTCTTATATGTAGTATAAACAGTGATGAATGGTAATGTAATCTCTGATATGCTGTTTATAGTTTGCAATTAATTAAATAATATTCTCCTACAGGCAATCATGCATCTTACCCTTTTTTTTGCTGTTCATAATTACTAAGCTAATTTCTCACATGTTTGAGGTAACTTGCTGTAGTAACCTACTATGTCTGCTGTGATCGGTATTAGATTCTGCATAGTACAGTCCGAGCACCTATCACTTCTGAGCTATTTGAGGTTAGTCATCTGCATATCTCAGGAGTAAGAGAAAATGCTTAAAATTGGTGCCTCAAGAACAGTGTCAAGTAGGTAGTACATTGTAGATTGACAACGCGCCAGAGAAAAAAGAAAAAGGAAATCAGACAGGAAGAATCAAATCCTTCTTTACCAAAAGAAAGGAAACTGAAGTGTAAAGCTAGCAGCACCCCATTCATATGATGCAGCAACAAGCAAAGAAGGTGCCTTCGCCCTTGCTCCTCTTCATTACCTTTTCTTGTGAGGATGGTACTGGAATAGCAGGAACCAGAGGCTTAAGCAAAGAATCTTGTCCAGTTCTCTTCTTCAATGAAATGAGCTTCGGGTCAGTCGGAGCTTCTCCCAGCTCGTTCTATCCCATCCCCAAAACCCTCCACGTGCTGCTGCCAAACACGCTCTTGTCCCAGTCTAGAGCACAGGCCCCTGTGCGTCCTCCTCATCTCGCCAGAAGAATTGCCGGTGGCGCCTTGTCCACTGCACAGCTTTCTGTGCCTCCTGCACTGGTACGTTGAGCGCTCCTTGTAGTACGCTGCGTTCCTCATGCCTGCTGTGCCGTTTCGTTATTCAGCGAATTCAGCACGTAGGTTAGGTGCACCTGTAGGTACCCTGTTGTCATGTTAGCCATCCAAATGTTTTGGAATATTTATTTTTTGGGATCACCACAACAAGATGTGGATACAAAATAAGTACCAAATCACCCTTTGGGCCCTGTTCGGTTCACAGGTTTCCTATAGGAATAGTACAGTTTTGATTTCCTACGGAATTTTTTTCTTTGAAGACGTTCGGGATAAAGGAATGAACTGTATCCTTTCTTCAGGAAAGGGAAACTTTCCTACGTTTTTTTTATAGGAAACAACACATTCACCAAGATCGGAGGGAAAGCCTAATTCTATGTTTTGGCATCCCTTAGGTTTCCCCTTTCGACTCCACTCTATTCCTATGACTTCTTGCATTCCTTTGTTTTGCTGTCCTACGTTCTGAACAGAGCCTTGAAACTGTTGTTCAGATTTGATTTCTTAGTCTTAATCTTAATCTTACCCTTTTACTAGGGTACTCCTTGGATTTTTTATGTGGCGCCTCTCTTGGAGTACCGTTTAATATCATACATCAGATTTTACAAAAATGGTGATGCTATCGGCATTCCAGTGTACGGTAAAAGACCGTGTACCAATGAGGAACTTATTAATTTAAACTTGAGCATTCCACTTTCAATACAATGTGATTAATTAGATCGACACTCTCCTGAATATGTTGCAACCAAATAGACAGTGACTAGCGGTTTCCTTTTAGTAGCATCGTGTGCATCCTGTTACACTCGACCCCTTGTTTCATTCGGTCTTGGTGACCATCAAGCAACTTATATATTTTGTTTTGTCAGGCAACCATCACGCTAGTCCAGTCTGAAATCAATCTAATTTGTTTCCATTTCCTTTAGCAGATTCAGTGAGCAAGTATGGAACTGGTACTCAAAATTGCAGCTTTATTTTGCTGAAATATTGAAGAGATACACTGCATGGTGAGAAATGGCGGAGTCTGCTCTGCTTCTTGTCATACAAAAGATTGGCACAGCCGTGGCAGCAGAAACGTTCAACTTCACTATACCATTACTTGCAAGGAAATCTGCTGCCGTGGCAGCACTGCCAAATGACATGAAAATGATAAGGAATCAACTTGAGCTTATACGCGCGTTTCTTGAGGATACCGGCAGGAAAGGCTGCACTGATCGAGTCATAGAAGCATGGACAGGGCAAGCACGAAAATTGGCCTATGATATGGAAGACATTGTGGATCAGTTTATCTATGTCGTTGGTAAACACAATGTGCAGGAAGGATCATGGTGGTGTTGTATGAAGAAAATTGCCAAAAAACCTCAATCTTTGTTTACATTAGATCAGATTGCTACTGCAATTGGTGGAATAAAGCAACAGCTTAGAGAGCTCAAAGAAAATAAAGACTGGACTCAGCCAATAGGTGGTGTGCGTAATGATATTCTTGCAACGGAATATGACAGTCATTATGCTCCTGGACAAGATTACTCGATTGCTGATGATGAGCTTGTAGGAATTGATAAAGATCGAAAAATCTGGATCAAGTCATTGCTTCTTGAAGGTGGTCCTGGACGGCGGCTCATTGCTCTGTGGGGTATGGGAGGAATTGGAAAAAGCACTCTAGTCAACAGTTTGTACAAAAGTGAGGCATCCAAGTTTGATTGCCATGCATGGGTTTCTGTGTCCCAGTCATATATACTGGAGGATATTTGGAGAAACATGTTGAGAGGACTCCGTAAAAATTTCAAGGAAGAATCTGATGCTTCTAATATGAACAGTACTGTAGAGAAAGTGGAAAAGATGAGCAGTGAAGAACTGCAGGCTGAATTGAAGCAAATCCTGGGGGGAAAGCGGTACTTGATCGTACTGGATGATGTCTGGAGACCTCAACATCTTCAGGAAATTCAACAGGTTCTTATCGATAATGGCTTGGGTAGCAGAGCAATAACCACGACAAGAAGTGAGGAAGTTGCTGAAGTGGCTGAACTGGCTGAGGCTGGCTGTAAGATCAAAGTAGAGCCTCTAGAGGCTGATGATGCATGGCGTCTGTTTTGCAGGAAAGCTTTCCCAAGGTTTGAAAACAACATCTGCCCAACAGAGCTAGTCCAGTGTGGTAAGGACATTGTGAATAAATGTGGCGGTTTGCCGCTAGCGCTAGTGGCAATAGGGAGCATATTGTCCCTTAAAGTGCGCAATGTTAGAGTGTGGAGGCTATTCTATGAGCAGCTTAATTGGGAGCTGCACAACAATGAGAACCTATCCCATGTGGAGAAAATACTAAACCTCAGCTACAAGTATCTGCCCAACCATTTGAAGAGTTGTTTCTTGTATTGTGCAATGTTCCCAGAAGACTATTGGATCCAGAGAAAAAGATTGATTAGATTGTGGATCTCAGAAGGGTTTGTTCCACAAGCAGGAGCGTTGTTCTTGGAAGAAGTTGCTGAAGGTTATCTGGAAGAACTCGTCCAACGAAGCATGCTTCATGTTGTAGAGAGGAACTCATCTGGTAGGCTTCGGCGTGTCCAGATGCATGATATTGTGCGCGAACTAGCCATTTCCCAGTCTAAAAAGGAGTGTTTCAGTACAACTTATGATGACACTCATGTGAGAGACCAACATGTGGGGTTGGATTCTCGTCGTGTGTCGGTGCTGCGATGCAAAAATGGCCTTGGATCAAGCATACATCCAGCAGCCAGGCTTCGCTCCTTGATAGCATTTGACAGCACCGTGAGATCATCAGCTCCATTGTTTCCCTCGGAATCTAAGTACATTGCTGTGTTGGAATTATCAGGCTTGCCTATTGACACTATTCCAGATTCAGTTGGGGAGCTTTTCAATATCAAGTATTTGGGCCTTGATCGCACCAATGTGAAGAAACTCCCAAGTTCTGTTACCAAGCTTCACAATTTAGAGACATTGAGTATTCGAGATGGACAGTGCCTGAGTTTGCCTCGAGGGTCCCAGAGACTCAAGAGACTGCGACACATACTTATCTACAAAATGCTGGATAAAACATGGAGTAGGTTTAGAAGTCATGAATCTATGGTGCCATTTGAGGGCATGTGGGATTTGCAGGAGTTGCAATCTCTGCATACAGTTGGAGCCAATAAGGTTTTTGTTGCAAAACTAGGGAATTTGTCTCAGATGAGGTTCCTTCTCATTACTGAGGTGAAGAGCAGTTACTGTCCACAATTGTGTGACTCTATATCAAAGCTACGTCACCTTTCAAGATTAGAATTAAGAGCCAGTTACTGTGAGGAAGTGCTACAGCTGGATAATTTGACACTGCCAAAGCGTCTCGACAAGCTCACTTTGGTAGGGGGATTGTCCCAAGGCTTTCTGGAATCTCCATTTTTCTCGAAGCATGGAGATGAACTTGTTCGACTAGAGCTGTATTATTCCCAGCTCGTGGTTGATCCAACGCCACGCCTCTACAGGTTGGCGAAATTGAGCCGTATTGTTCTCCGAAGTGCGTATATTGGACAGGCACGACCCGTGGTTGCAAATGCTTCGGAAATATCTAAACTGAGAGACGAGCTCCCTGCAGACTCGACTTGAGGGAGCTATTTGATAAAGATTGACGTCATACCAGATAATGTCCTATCTACCCTTTATGTATTAATATGTCTTTGTTCAGTTATCTCAGCAACCGGTGGCTTGTATAATAATGCATGGGACTGGCATTGATGCTGCTATCCCATCTTGGTTTATCCCTGTTTACATTTGCTGACATACGTTCAGCCACGTACCGTGTGATGTAATAATTTAGTAAGGCAAAAGTGATGCGTGCATTTGAAATTTTGGCTCCTCCAGGGCCATGGAAATTCGGAGTTTCATAGGGATAGTTTTATCTGTCCTGTTATGTGTTGTTGATTTTTTCTTAGATCTGATTCTGGCTAATCAATCATGAATCTCGAATTGTATCTCCCTGATGGTGATATGTGTTACTGCACAGAACCCAAGCAGAGTTTGAGGTATAACGACTTGACAGAAAACTTGCCAGAGAGCAGCAGCATCCGCGCCGGCCGCGCGCGGGCACGAGCAGCGACGCCGGCGGCCAGGCGGCAAAGCTCCAGGTGAGCTGCTCGGAGTGGGGCACGGCAAAGCTCGTGGCCCGACTGGCGCAGGGGAGCTGCTGCTGGCTTGCACGCTGGCGAGCTCGAGCTCCACTGGCCGGCGCAGGGAGGCCCAGCCGACACAGTCAACAGTGGGAGGAGATGAAACCTTATCCACCCTTTTCTTAATAAAAAATAAACTTTATCCTCTTAGGCCCTTTCAGAGGTCCTTTTGCAAAATAAAATTGTAGCGGGATGTAATTGACGTTTTTTTGGCACGTCACCTCTTCTGGCGGGACCCACCTGTTATAATCGTGCTTAAACCGGCGACTAGTGTTTTTTGCAAAAAATTATGAAAAAAATTAGTGCTTTTTGGCACAATTCCATAAATGTGTGGTTCCTGCAAATCTTGCCTGAAGTGTTGATGTTTTTTGCAATTCACTCAGAGTTTGAGGTATAACGACTTGACAGAAAACTTGCCAGAGTGACTATGAAGCTAAGAGATCTGATCTGGGTTCTCCGAGAGGAGACGGAAGAAGGGCAGTGAGGGCCTGCCAATCAGCAAGCTCTTCAGGAGACAACGTCTGGCGCAGTCCAAGGTCCAAATTAGCGGGTGCAAGCTCTGAAATGGAGATTGATTGGTTGGCACAGTAAGAGAACAAGACAGGGAAGGAATGGCAGAGGGGGGGCCCTCTCCCGACCACCAGTCCAGCCAGGAACACACAGAGGAGCCATAACCATCAGAAAATTTGACAGGACCAGACTATAATTGCACACTATGTGTTTCTTTTTTTAGATATAAAGGCATCTTGCCCGACTTTATAAATAAAGCCATCATGACACCATCATCCAACAGACGATAGTAAAGTTTAGAAGGTCCAGGACACGCATGCCACAAATAAGCAAACGGTAGCAGGGCACATAGCAAGGAGACAATAACTAGGAAGTTAGTCAAAGGTAGGAGGGGGCGCCAAGGAGATCGCCGTATCATGAATAATCTTGGAGATCATCAGGGCGACGGGGTCAGCATATGAGGCTTTACTATATTTTGCATGATGGAACAACTAGGATAAACTCGCTGAACATCAGAAATATTTGGTCTAGCTACCTTATCCATTGCAATCAAGGAAGGAAAGTTACCATCTTTTATAATGTCACATGAATTTGAAGTTTGTTTGGGTGTTGCAGGTTTAAAGGAGGAAATGTGGTATCAAGTATTTTCTAAACATGTTTATGTGGTCATATGTTTTCTCAATAGACGAAAAAGGGTTTCCCCTGCTTTAGATTATAAAGCAACCGCACCAACAACATCCGACAACAACACCGAGTTCAAGGTTCAGGCAAAAACAAAAGCAAAGCAAAGCCGAAGAGTGCAAATAGGTTCAGCTGGGGGCACAACACAACAAAACCCTAAAAAGAAAGAAGAAGCAGCCAACTAGCTAATCAGGCTCAGGCGATATGTTTTCTCAATAATTGTAAGAGTATTTCTATTTTTCGTCAAAATGGACGGGTGCAACGATGCACACCATCATAGTCGAGTGATTTTAGCTACCGTCACCACATTGAACTAATGTGTAAGAAGTTTTTATAAGATCCGCATGTAGAATAGCATTGTTCCATGATCAAGCTGTGCGCCTGTGCTCTGCTTAAACTTTTTCAAAAAACATTCGAACCATCTTTCTACCGTTATTTATTAGACACTTGGTGTTGTCAATAATTAATGTCACCTAACCATGGTAACTAGTCAATCAGAGAGGCTCGACCCATCATCCCATCAACTTCTTGCTTGTATTAGAAAATTGACACTCGAGACTGGATCAACTGCTTGCCGGCTGTGTTAATGGACTTTCTAGTCCTTGATGTGACACTGGGTATAAACTGGAGGCTGTTCAGAAGTTGCTGAGCAATTGCTCGACCCAATCAAATCATTTTTCTTGTTTCGACAGCAACTTGTTGGATCCTTCGGAAATATATCCAGGATCTTTCGGACAGAAAATGCCAAGAATGAAACCGACGGGCCGAAGCAAATCATGAAAAAAATTATATGAGACCAGATCTCACGATTAGCAGGAGAGACCCGTCCTGATGGATGACACGTGACATTTACAAATCTTAAAGCATCTTTGAAATTTATAAATGCCACGTGTCATCTATCAGAATGGGTCTCGCGTGAGACCTAGTCTCATAGAATTCTTTTTCAGCAAATCACCATCTGAGTTCCCCGCAAAAGAAGAAACGAAAAGGAAAGAATCACTATATATATAAGCACAACAAAGCTTCTAGCCTGCAAACCAGCCATTGTTTGCATCGCCTAAACATGTCCATCATGATAGCCATGGAGTTTTTGGTGTTTGCCTCCCTTTGCCTCCCGTGTTTGGTGTCCATTGCTGACACTGCCACAACAAGCACCACTGACCACCAAGCGCTCATGTCACTGAGGGCTCTGATCAATGGAGACCCATTCCAAGCACTGAATGCATGGGGAAACCAGTCGATCCTTATGTGCCAATGGCGCGGAGTGGCATGTGGCATGCGGGGCCGCCGCCGCGGCCGTGTCGTAGCACTGGATCTTGGTGGGCTCAACCTTGTTGGCTCCATTGCCTCTTCCATAGGTAACCTAACTTACCTCAGGCATTTTGGCCTCCAAGAGAACCGCTTCTCCGGTACCATACCTTCAGAGGTTGGACATCTCGTAGAACTCGAGTATATGAACCTCAGTAGGAACTCCATCGGCGGGGAGATCCCACCGACACTGGCAGCTTGTGTCCAGCTTCGAGTTATTGATCTGAGTCACAACATGCATAAAGGCTCGGTGCCGCGGGAGTTGTCATCCCTGCATAATCTAGAGGTGCTGGCTCTTGGGCACAACAACCTTACAGGAAACATTCCCGCGGAGATTGGAAACCTGAAAGGTCTGATCGTTCTTCATCTGGTATCAAACATGCTAGTAGGAGAAATTCCTACAGAGATTGCAAATCTTAGAAACTTGACCAGTTTATACCTTAACATTAATGGTCTGTCAGGTTCTGTTCCTGCCTCTCTTGGTGGCCTCCAAAAATTACAGATTTTGTATCTAGCCACGAACCGACTCTCAGGACCGATTCCAGCTTCCCTAGGAAATCTATCTAATTTACTAATTCTAGATTTCCAGTCAAATGGCCTAACCGGTAGCATCCCTGAATCATTAGGAAATCTGAATCTCCTTAACGTGCTTTCTCTCACATCTAATAATCTTACAGGCTCAATTCCTCACACTCTCGGGAAACTCAGTTCTCTTGTTGAGTTTTATCTCAACGGGAATCAACTCGAGGGTTCCATACCAGTTTCTGTATATAATCTTTCATCACTCCAATTTTTCAGTGTGCAATACAACAACCTGAGTGGATCCATTTCAGATGACTTGGGTAATAAGTTTACACAACTCCAGCAACTTTCCATGGACAATAACAGATTTCATGGGTCCATCCCGGAGTCTTTGTGTAATGCTTCAATGCTTGAACTAGTTCAATTGTCTGACAACTTTTTTTCCGGAGTAATACCAAAATGTCTTGGAGCTACCATGAAGAGCTTATCGAGACTGCTTCTCTCAAATACCCAACTAGAGGCAAGGAATGATGCCGATTGGGATTTCATTTCTAGCTTGACAAACTGTAGTATGCTATCATACCTAGCTCTTGACAATAACAAACTAGAAGGGGTGCTACCAAATTCAATAGCAAATCTTTCCACAAACTTAGAATATTTTAGCGTGACAGGCAACATGCTGCATGGAAATATACCTGAAGGAATTGGAAACCTTGTCAACTTGCAACTCTTGCAGATGGGTGGCAATTTCCTACATGGAAAAATTCCTGAATCGATTGGTAACCTTGGGATCCTGGCTGAACTATACTTGTACAACAACAGTTTATCTGGACCAATTCCACCAATGCTTGGAAATCTAACAGCATTAAGTATACTTGCCCTCGCCCAAAATGTGCTTACTGGCCCCATACCATCCAGCCTTGGAAGCTGCCCTCTGATGGTGCTGAGCCTAGCATTCAATCGGCTTGTTGGTCCAATACCAAAAGAGATTTTCCTCATATCGACACTGTCTGTTTCTGTGGAGGTTCAGGGCAACAAGTTAACTGGGAAAATTCCTTTAGAAGTTGGTAATCTGGTGAATATTGGATCTCTGGATGTGTCTGACAACAGGATAACTGGATTAATTCCTGCTTCTCTAGCTCAGTGTGGAAGTATGCAGTATCTCAGTATGGAAGGAAACCTATTTCAGGGCACGATTCCAGCATCAATGTCACAGATGAAAGGCCTTCTAGTTCTTGATGTTTCAAGAAACAACTTGTCCGGTGAGATCCCATTCTTCCTTGGGGACATGCAGGGGCTCGCTACCCTCAATATATCATTCAACAATTTTGTGGGTGAAGTTCCGAAACATGGATTATTTCTGAATGCAAGTGCAGCTCTGATTGAAGGGAACTATGGCTTATGTGGAGGAATCTCCCA